GAACAAGGGCCGGTCTCCATCATCTCCATCACGGCCCTCGCCTCGCACTCCAGGAGCGCCAACATGACGGCGAAGACCAAGGCCCTCCAAACGGCCTGCTCTAACCAGAGGGCTCTCCGAAAAGTGTTTTCGCCACTCAATCCAAACGTGTTCCTAGACCAATGAATTGCTCTCCGATCGAGGAATCCATTGATGGGGTCGCACGTTCTGTTTGAGCCCCGTTTAGCGACTCTGGATCTCGAAACGCGTCCGGGATTTCGACCGCCTCTGCCGGTCCTCTGGCCCACTGTGCGACTGGTTGCCGTCGCAGTATCAGACCCCAGCACAGGCCGTGCCGACAGTGTAGTGTGCAAATCATCGCGAGGCGAACTACCGCCCGCCTGATCTGGTTGGGCCGGCCGTCGGCTGCCGTTGGCCGTTGGGGTGTCATCACACGGCGGGTTGCGGCCATCCCGCTGCCCATCCCACGCCACTGCCAGCAGCCCAGGAAGGCACCCCATTGCGCGCGCCGGCCAAAGTTGGAGGCAGGGCTTAGTGCCTCTGGGGTACGTGTTTAGCTGCCCTGCTGGCCCTGCGCCGCCCCGCCGCCAAGCTGGCGTACATTCGGCACGGAGGAGGGATAGCCGGCCGCGTGCATGGGAGGCGCATTCCCGTTGGACGTGCCAGAGACCACGAAGGACAGTCAATGAACTCCCCTCCTCCCTCCCCGAGCTCGGAGGGACCACGGCGTCTTGCCAGCCTGGCCGGCCTGGCCGGCGTGGTGTGGCGGGGAAGGGAATGTGGCTTTGGCTTTGATTCACTTTCGCGCCGCCTAGTCGAGTGGCGTGGCTTGCCGTGCCGCGCCGCGCCTGCCTGCAGCGGAGGTGTGTTCAGTGGCGCGTCCCCGGTCGCCGCGGTCGCCGCGCCGATTGGCTGCATGAGAGCGGCGGGGTCGCTCGGACCGCGGCGTGCTGGCTGCTCGCTCGGGCTGGCTGCTCGGGCTGGCGGCTCAAGCCTGCCGCCTGGCGGCCAGCCCGGCTGGCAGCTCCAGTCGCTAATAAGCGCGTCAGGGTCACTTTGGCCTTATTGAAGGGCCCCGGTGATCGACTCCACGGTAGAGTCGTTTCGTCGCTCTGTCTCTGTCGCACTCATGGGGCCCCCCGTAAGGGTGCGAGCGAGAGAGAGCGACAAAGCGAACTTCCGAATCACTCGGCGGGCCAAAGGCACGCCACGCCAGTCTTCAGCAGTCTTTAGCCGAACTGGCGAACAAGGAAAAGTGACCCTTTGAGAGCGGCAAGAAGTTTGTTCCTTTCTGAAAGCGATTTTTTTTCAGGTGACTTGATAAATGACCGGCTTTGCGCCTCGTCGGTGCGGCGGTTCATTTTCCGCGCGTTTCAGGTCACGGCGATACCTGAAGGCGAAATATGATTGTCTTCCATTAGAGGGCGGCGTGTGGGAGAAGGACACGTGGGTCAGCACACGAGGCGCCTTCCATGTTAGGAGCGCGGCCCGGGGTTCGCCTCCTCACAACGCTTTTTTTGCCAGTCCTGTCTTGGAGACGCACTTGGTCGCCTCGGCCGGGCGCGGCGCAACGCGGCCGGCTGACGAGGGAGACGAGGGGACGGTGTCACCATGTCACGGGGGCACGCACTGCTAAATGGACCGCCTGGCAGGGCTGGCAGGGCTGGGCCGGCCCCACGCGGCCCCACGTGGGGTCGCTCGGTAAAAGGGAAGGGGACGACACTCCACGCCGCTCGTTGCGTCACCGCGTCACTAGGATAGGATTATCACCCGGCCAGCCAGCTGCCGCCGTGCGCTTCCTGGTCAAGGGCCGACGCAGGCCGACGACGACCAGAATTATTATGTGTGGCTCGGCCGGGCTCGGCCGGCTCGGCGACGCGTATGGCCGGAGCGGCATAAAGTGCGCGCGGACGCAACGCGCCGCGTAGCTCAGCTTACCGCGCACCGACCATTACGATAACGAAGACCGCGGCACATGCATCTGTTCGGACGCCAGTGGGCCGCCAAGCCGCCAAAATGGCTTAGTGCCGTGTGTTTGCGCAGACAGCAGCCTGGGTCGTTTTTGTCGCTCTGTCTCTCTCGCACCCACGGGGGACGCCCCATGAGTGCGAGAGAGACAGAGCGACTGAGGCTGCAGTGCGCGCGCAAGCACTAGGCGCCCTGCTGCTTTGCTGTCTTCGCCGCTGCCACCGCGCTGCCACCGCGCGGCGCGCAGAGGCAGAAACCGGTTTTTCGGCGCCCGGCGGCCTACTTTTCATAACATTATGAGCTCGAAGCGCGCACAATATGCTGCGGGGCTGAAAGCGACGTCGGTCTCAGGCACTCGTTGTTGTTGTGAACGGGTGACTTAGCGAGCCGCCACGCCGGCGCGAGGCTTTCGCCAGGCGATCGTGAGAACAACACTGAGCCCGCCGCCGTGGCGGCGCGCAAGCACGCGCGCGGTGACGATTCGGTTCACCTCGCCGTCGTCACTGCTTCGGACCAGCGCTTTCGGCGCTCCTGCCTCTCTCGCATCCCTGTGGCACCCCACGTGGTGGTCCGGGAGGTACTGTTCCAAGGCATCCTGCCGGCGGAGAGCTGGCCGTCAGCTTGGACCGCTCGGCGGCCTGGAAGGCCTCGAAGGCTTGGAACGGCCGGTTCAAACTTTGCCGCCGCCGGCCAATCTCCTCCCACGCTTCGTCCGGCGACGTTGCCCGCCGTGAGGCTAGGGGGCTGGCGCGTGGAGGGGCGCAGCGGTGCAGCGGCGGGGCGGGGAGGGGGGCGGGGGTAGGCCGAGAGCGAGAGAGAGGGTGGCGCCGCTGCGCTGGCCCGCCGGGAAGGTATGCTTCCCCTTCGACGTCCCTGCCCACCCGGCCAGCCAGCTGGACTGACTGACTAGTCCTGCACAGCTTGTCGCTTCATCTCTCTCGCTCTCCTGGCGCGTCCCGCAGGGGTGCGAGAGAGACAGAGCGACGGCAGCGATGTGCGCAGAATTAGTCAGCCGTGGTTCATCCGGGGCACCCGGTGCCTCTCCAAGCTGCTTAGTTCGCTGAGGCTGACGCCAGGCGCAGATTTAAGGGGGCAAGGCGGGTGTCGCCCCTCTGGTACTTGATGCCGTCTGGAAGGCAAAAATCCTGGATGGGCGGCGCAAACCGAAAGCAGTGCTGCGTCTTCGTTACGCGGTGCAGGAGGCCGCCCTCCTTGTGCACGACGGCAGCCCCGGTGACACCGCCCCATCCCATTCATCCAGGGCTGGCGCGGAGCAGCGCGAAGCACTCCGTTTCAATTTGGCGCCAATTAATTCCCCTCCGGGTGGTTGCTTCCTTCTCGCGCTGCATAAAGCGCCAGCAAAATGGGCACTCGGCGTCCAAATTGAGATTAACAGTGTGGAATGGAACACCGGGCCGGTCGACTGACCCTCCCCGTCAACATCGCAGTCATCGGGTGGCATCGGTTGCAGAGTCCTGCAGGCTGCAGGCTTCCCGGCACCAGTATACGGTGTAGTTGCGCCGTGCTTCGCGCTCCGCGTCCTCGCGAAACAGTTTGCGTGTGTGTGTGTGTGTGTTGCCAACTGCATAAAACACAGCCCCACCCCCGTGGCGGGGCCTCTCGTCCCCCAGCCCAGTCGCCCCTCCCCCAGCCGAACTGCAGGCTGTCTCGGAGGTACCAAAGGTAGCTGTAGATCCCGCGGGAACACCTTCAGCACCAGGACGGTGGCCCGCCCCGCCCCGCCCCGCCCCACCGCCCACGGGCCGTAGCGTAAGCTCTGCGTGCAGGCTGATGCAGGCCTGCCAACGACTGGCAACCTTCTCCCGCATTGCATGTGTTGTGTGGGAACGCGCCCCGTGCGGGTGGCAGCCCTGCCCTCGCGCTCCCTCGCCTCGTGGGGGCCTGCAGGGCCTGCAGGGCTGCCGCCGCGCTCGCGAGGCAAGACAAGGAGGTGTCGGGGCGGGGCGGGGTGCTGCGATGTGGGGTGGGACGGATCACTGAGTGACGCGTTACTCGCAAGAAGGGTGATTTTGGTGTGGTGTTGCGTCACGTTTTTGTCATTTCTTTTTTCGGCCCGCAATTTGCATGGCCCCGCTGTGTTATACTCCGAGCCCTCCCCCGCAGTCACCGCGCCGCACCGCGCGCTCCACAGTTCGGACAGCGAACGGCAAAAACCAGGAAACGGAATGAAATGACCTCGCTGCCTCTGGCTGCCTCTGGCTGCAGGCGGAGGAGCAGAGCACGAGCAGAGCGACTCGCTGACGAGGCTGACGAGCAGTTAGGCCCCCAAAAGCCAAATGAGCACAATTGACAACAAAAGTCTGGTCGTTATTACAAGCCGCCCCTTAAAATGCCCTTTAAACCTTTCGGGCCACCAGAGCAACTCCGGCGCAAAGGGCCTCTTGCAGGGGGCCCTGAGAGAGGCCCTCCAGCTCCAGGGCCTCCAGGGACAAGCCCTCCAGGCGCCTCGTCCCTCGCAGCGCTGCCGGGCCGGCAGGCCGAGCAGGGCTTTCGTCGCTCTGCCTCTCTCGCACTCGAGGGGCGTCCCTCGGCTCCCTCGCAGTGCGAGAGAGGCAGAGTGACGGCGGCCTGCCTCTGGCTTTGACCCGCGACATGGCGTAACGCGGTCCCCTGACCTGGCCGCCCTGGCCGCCCTGGCCGCCGCACGTGTGCGCCGTGTCCCGGCAGTCCGGCGGTCTGGGGGAAAAAATAACAAGTCGTCTCTGGGTCGCCGATCGCGGCGCGGGGCGTGGTGCGGAGCGTGGTGCGGAGCGTGGCCGAGCTTCGCGGCATCGCGGCCGCCCTAGAGAAAGTCACCCGGGTGGGGACGTCCGATTTATAGTCAACTTGTGTGACTCTTCTTCAGCTTCCTGTCCCCCTCCTTCCGCCAGGACGGCGTCGCCGAATTCCGGGCGGGGCTGCTGGCGGGGCGCATCCTCGCCGCCCTGGAGGACCTGGCCAGGGTGGTGGTGAAGACGAATCCGCGTATAAAAGCGTTAGGCGGCAGGTTGGGGCATCGCAGTCGGCGACAACCGTCTTCCGACAAGACATCCGATCACTCCACGCCAGACGAGATGAAGATCGCGGTGAGTTTGGGGCGGCAGCAGCGCGCCACAATCACGCCTTTCCCCGGCGACTAGCGCCAAAAAAATGGCGGCTGTGTTCTTGACGAGGCTCTTGTTGTTCTGCAGGCCTTCCTTCTGCTGGGCGCCACCCTGGTGTCCGCCGGGGAGCTCCACGGGCACTACCACGGCCCACCAGCGGCGTCCTACGGCCCACCAGCCGACTCGTATGGCCCGCCCGCCTACAGCCAGCCGCTCCCAGCCGCGGCGCCGAGCTCCGCCGTGGCCGAGAGCGTGCAGTACAACCAGGGCGGCAGCTACGGCCCGCCCGCACCCGTGTACGGCGCCCCCGCCGCCGAGGCCAACTACCAGACCCACAGCCAGGTGCCCACCCGCACCATCACCCGCACCGTGACCGTGCCCATCCCACAGCCCTACCCCGTGCCTGTCGAGAAGCCCGTGCCCTACGAGGTGAAGGTGCCCGTGCAGGTGCCCGTCGACCGGCCTTACGAGGTGGCCGTCCCCAAGCCCTACCACGTGCACATCGACCGCCCCGTCCCCGTGACCGTCGAGAAGAGGGTGCCGTACCCCGTCAAGGTGCAGGTCAAGGTGCCCGTCCCCGTGCCCGTGCCTTACGACGTGCCCAAGCCCTACCCCGTCAAGGTCTGGGTGCCCAAGCCCTACCCCGTGCCCGTGCCCGTCAAGCAGTACATCCACAAGAAGTACATCCACAAGACCTACAAGGTCCAGAACGACCACGACGACTGGTCCTGGTAAACGTTGTCCAGGGAAGGCCCCCTTTCAACAGCTGCAGTGCAGGCCGCACTCAATCTTCATCTCTAGTCAGACTTTAGGTTACCAATGTCTTGTTGATTTAATGTTTACTTTTTGCAACCAATTTTTAATGAATAAATACCTATTGACTGTTTATTGGCCCACAATTGACTCTCCCCTTCAGCCTCAAAATGGTCCAATCAGGAATCGCCTCCACATATGCACCGATAATAAGGAACAAATCGTTTCTTAAAAAATAAATTTATTATGACGTATGAAGCATGACATGGTGGTGAGATGTGTTGATGCAGTGACTAGGATGAACGAAACCGAACACTCAACAACAATAACAATCTAGTATCGATAGCACTCAAAAAACAAAAACAAATGACAGTTACAAAAATTTGAGCATGGGGACTTGGACTCTCGATCGACCTGCGGTTCGAGTCCCCTCGACGGCGGAGAGTTTCTCCAAGCACATCGCCAGCCTCGTCGCCAGCCCTACCAGCCGCCGTGGCCCAGGCCGCCGCCCAGCTTCCAGCCGCTGGTTTTGCGGACGATGATCTTGACGGGCGGCGGCGCGGACTTCTCGATGTAGACGGGCTCCCGGATGATCTTCTCGACGGGGTAGGGCACGTGCTTGACGATGTGCTTGTAGACGGGCACCTTGACGGGCACCTGCACCTCGTAGGGGACGGGCACGTGCTTGACGACGGGCACCGGGTAGGGCCGGTCGACGGGCACCTCCCTGTCGACGGGCACGGCGTAGGGGACCTTCACGGCGTAGGGCACGGGCTTCTCCACGGGCACGGCGTACGGCTGGGGCACGCCGACGGCCACCTGCTTCTCGATGAGCACGGAGGAGCCCAGCTCGGTGGGCACGCCTGCGTAGGGCAGGCCGGCGTAGGCCGCCGGCACGCCCTGCACGCCGTAGCCGTAGAGGCCGTTGACACCCGCGAAGCCCGCGTCGTAGCCCAGGGCCTCGCCGTAGACGCCCCGCTTGTCCTTGGACGCGGCCGCCACCCCCACCAACAGCACGACCACCAACTGCAACAAGAGCACCAAGCTTGTCAACTCGCAGGCGAGGCCGCCGATGAGCGCCCAGGCAGGCCGTTGATGATGGTATCCATGGAGGCAGCACAGAGACACCACACTACACTCGCAAAAACAGCAGTTCGAACGCGCTGCTGAACTCGGCGCGGCACGCGACGGCACTCACCATCAGCTTCATGTCGGGGATGTGAGAAGCACTCGTTGCTTCAGCGGAACAAAATGTTCTGCCGGCCTGTGCGGACCCCCGCAGCTTTATACGGCTTGACCGGACCAGCCTGCGGGGTGGGTGCGAGTGCGAGTGCAGGACACAGGGCGGGGCGGGGCGGGGCGGGCAGGGGCCCAAAAGTGACAGTACGGGTGTGTTCATGCGCAGGGTGGGGCGATGCCGCAACGACAGCCCCCCTCCCCCTTCCTTCTTATTTCCCTTATTTTCCTCCGCCTCCCCGGCGGACCGGCCACTGCCGGCCACTGCCGGCCACCGGACCCTGATAGCAAGCCGAGAGCGGGCTGGGCAGGGCAGGGCAGGGCCGGGGGCCGTCACAAAATATCGCTAAACTGGAGCATCCGGTTGTGTGTGTGTGTGTGTGTGTGTATGTCGTAACGGCGGCGTTCCGAACACGGGGTGCATGCGATCAGTTGGCCCGCAGGGTATTGCGTTACGCGCCTTTGGAGAGCCCAGCCCTGCCTCGGCCGCCCCGCCCCGCCCCGCCCCTCGCAACTTGGATCTCATTCTTTCTCTCCCGCTAAAGATATTCGCAAGGTGTCCGTCCCACCCGGTCCGGCAGCACCCGCCCAGTGGACACACACAAACTCACGCACACAGAGAGCCGCCAATACACACATACACACTGACCGGGCGGCTGGACGTGGCTGGACACCGCGACCGGTTCCTGTTCCAAAAGGCATGCGCCACGGCAACCCGTTTCCCCACAATGCGCCTGCGCGCTGCGCCGGGGCACCCAAAGCACGCCGCAAAGGAAGCCGCCCTCTGTCCTGTCCCAGCACCACGGCCGCGACGGCCACGACGCCGGCCACCACATACTTCCGCCGCGGGGATAATTATTGGCAGGCGTGCTGTGCCGCTGGCCCAGCTCGCAGTGGACTATACTGATTCCGGGAGTCGTTTTCGTAGCCTGCAGTCGACTGCGAATAACGAGCCGCGTGAACAGGGCCGTAAAAGCGGCGGCGTGTGGCGCGGGCCTAACCTAACCTAACGCTGGCAGTCTGTAAGCCTGTGCGGGGGGGGGGGGGAGTGGAAAGAGTGGGGAATAAAACTCGCAAATGAGTGGTGACAAGTGCCTCACGAGCTCCGCGGGGGGAAATGTGGTAGGTCGCGATCTCTCGTCAACGTGCCCAACGCCGTCACCCACGCAGGCGGCAAGAGCGAGAGAGGAGCGGCGGGCAGCTGTCTCACTTGGACGTGGTAGTGGGGTGTCGGTGCCGGATTGCTGTAGGTCATGATTTCGGACGGAGACCCAGCCGCGGTGAATGACAGGGCGGTGAAACCACCAAGCACGCCGCCGACGTCGCGGTGCTGGAGTCTGGATTCGGCGGGGCGGAGTACACGTGTAGAGGATGGTAGAGAGTCCCGCAGCCTGGCTCGCCGTTGGACCGGCCGCGTTTCCTTCCTGACAAGTTTTTTTTTAAGTTTTTTTTTTATTTTGCCTCATCGCGACGCCGAGCCTTCTTTATGGACCCTGCCCGCCATAGGTGACTCACCGCGCCCGTCTTTCGAAAAGAGTATAGTTCGTTCTCGGGAGGCGGGCCTGCCCCATTGCCCTGTACTGGTGGTCACTTTGTCGTCCATGCGACACCGGATCGACGTCCGTCCGAGTTCGCCCGACCGGTCTGCCTCCACCCGCCTCACTGTCTGGTCCCCCTTTTGTCCAAGGAAGCGTTGTGGGTCGCACTTCTTTTTTTACAGTGGTGGGAAAAAGAGCTGTTGTTGTGCGTTTTCGCCTTTACTTTTAACGGGGTTATGTCTGTGGTCAGTAAAGTTACGTGAAATAAATTTTTTTTTTCAATTTTATTTCCGATCTTTACTCTAGAATGTTTGCGTGACGACTGAGATGACTAAAGTGAGCATGGAATACATGAGATATTTACAATGCACGATGAGCAATGAATTTGACTAGACGGCTGGTCCTTCCTCACCAGCTGGGCGGCGCGGGGGCGTAGTGGTGGTGGTGGTGGCCGTAGTGCTCGACGGGGGCCTTGACGTACACGGGCACGGCCTGGGGCTGCGCCACGGGCTGCGGCACCTCCACTCGCACCGGGTAGGGCTGCGGCACGTCGTAGTGCACCGGCACCTGCACGGGTACCTTGACCTGCACCTTGACGGGGTACGCCACCTTCTTCTCGACGGTCACGGGCACGGGGCGGTCGACGTACACGTTGTAGGGGCGAGGCACCTCGACGCGCACGGGCCTGTCGACGGGGACGTGCACGGGGACGGGCACCTGGACGGGCACGCGGGTCTCGTAGGGCACGGCGTACGGCTGGGGCACGGCGACGGTGCTCTGGTGGACGATGGTCGTGGTGGGCACGTTGCCCTGCTGGACGGTCTCCGTCACCTGAGGGGCGGCGACGGCGGCGGGGAACCCGGGGGCGGCGATGCTGGAGGCGGAGAAGGCTGGAGCGGCGTACGAGGGGGTGGCGACGGCGCCTGCTGAAAACACTGGGGCACTGTAGGAAGGCGCGCTGAACGCTGAAGCACTGTAAGAAGGTGCGCTAAAGGCTGGGGCACTGTAGGATGGCGCGCTGAACGCTGGGGCACTGTAGGATGGCGCGCTGAACGCTGGCGCACTGTAGGATGGCGCGCTGAAAGCCGGCGCGCTGTAGGCTGGGGCACTGTAGGCGGGGGCTGCCAGGCCGGAGCTGTAGCCGCCGAATGCCGGGGCGTGGTGGCCGTAGCCGTACGCCTCGCCGAACACCCCTCGCTTGCCCTTGGTCGCCTTCTGCTTGTCGCTCGACTCCACGCTCTTCTTGACGCCCTTCTTGTCGCTCTGCGTGTCGCTCTGCTTGTCAGAGTCGGACGCGGCCGCGGCGACCGCCACCAACAGAAGTAAACCCTGTAAAAGCAAAAATGTTTACTATCACAAATAAATGCCATTGCACTGGTCAAGCAACAAAGCTCGCTTGAAACTTACCAGGAGTCTCATGGCGGCTCTGGAGGCTCGTGGTTGCTCCTTGACGGTTGGCGACGATCTGGCGCTGTTGCAGCGCATCTTTGTATCTTTTATAGATGCATCTTTTCAGGAGGGGCGAAACTCTCACACAAAAAACGGACGACCAAATTGGTGCAGGCCTTGATACGACAGAGCCTCGGACGACACATTCTCGATGAATGGAGTCCGATGGAGTCCGAAGACGCCCGCCCGCGTTGCGGCATCTTTGTCGCAACACAGACCGCGGACCGCGGCGACCAGCGCGCCAAAAAAACATAAAAATCCCGATGATGAAGGACAAGCCATTCGGGGGTTGCTTAATTTTACCAATCAAAACGCATCCTTTTTTTTCTGTCCTGCCGCCCTTCTTCGAGGATCTCTCCGCTAAAACATGGAGACGCGGCGCCACAGGGCTTTGATGTCGGCACGTGGCGCGGGACCCGAGGGACATGCCTAAGCAGCCGACGCATGGATCTCAACTCACTTTGTGCAGAATGCACTCGAGCTCCTAGCTAACGCAATTCCGAAAACCTTTCTTTTTTCGCGTTGCAAGCGTCGGTCCGCTATAAACACGCGCTTGCGCAAGCGAAGCGCCTCCTTTTCTCGTTTCGGCTGCTGTGCCTGGGAGCGCCAGCGTGGCTAGCGGCGCTCGGCGACGCTCGGCGACGCTCGGCGGCGCTGGTGACAGTTTATGGCCATCCCGACGGCCAGGTCGATCTCCTAGGATAGCATCTCTGGCGTGCCAGCTGTCCCCAGCCACTCCCCCGGGAATCTGTCGAGGCCTGACGAGGCGCTGGGCCCTATGACGCCTCCAGGCCGAAATCGTACAAGCATCCTCGGCAGGGGGGGGGGGGGAATCAGTCTCCGAAGGGGAGGCAGGACTTCCCCCCACCCAGCACCCAGAGGCCAAAAAAGTTGAGCGAAAATCAGTTAAGCGGTAGGTGTCATGAAAGCCGCGATGCGTACGTTGTCCGTCATTCGTCGCAAGTTCTTTTCGAGCGAATTATTTTACGTTTATGGACATTAACGTAAAATAATTGCGAACAAAAATAACGTGGAAACCCCGAAGGTAGGCAACGCCCCACACCGCGTCAGACGCTGACTAGCACACCCCGTCAATGCAGGGCCTTTGAAAACGTCGCAAAGCGTCTCACTTTCCTGCACTCATCAGATAGAAGCGCTCGCCGCTGGAAATGTCTCGCATCGTTGCGTAAAGCTCGCGTCCCCGATTCGCTGGCGACCAAACCAGAGAGGAAAAAGAGGACCGCGAGCGCGGCCCTTGTAAGTTAGCTCAGACAACAGCGAAATGACAGCCGAGTTTCCGAAACATGACTCTCCGTCGATGCAGCCGAGATGCCGCCCCCGCCCGCGCAGTGGACACACTGTAAAAATTTTCGGAGCTTGGGACAGAAAGTGTGCGGAAAAAACGCGTACTTTCCTTACTGGTTCTCCGTAGTCTCTACAGGGGTCGCTCCTGTGCGAGAAAAGTGGACGGAATCTTCGTGGTTTGCAAGTGCGATTGACCTGGCATTGAACTTTTTCCTGAACTGTTTTCTACCGATGCAGAGAGAGGTGACTAGGGTGGATCAGAGCGCAGTGGCGGAGAGCCGGCCCGCCCAAAACCTGGCGCTGACTTGAGGAAGTTTGCGAAATATTCCCGTCTTTTCTATTTCCGCCAAAGGTCACGCATCTCGCTTCCCTTTTCGTCGAGTTGGCTGATGCCGAGAGTCGTTTTCGTCGCTCTGTCTCCCTCGCACTCACGGGCACCCCGAGCGAGAGAGACAGAGAGACGAGAACGACTCTCGGAGTCAGTCCGCAGACTCTGCCCGGTGTGCCCAGGGCGTGCCGCGCGCAGACTTTACCGGCTTCCCCGGAGTGGCAGCTGTCATTGGTTCCCTCCCGCCCCGGGCAATAATAGAGAAACACTTTACAAAACTGACTTAACTACAGCAGTGCAAGTCGCTCTCTTTCGAGCTGCCCGATTCAGATTCAACATTACGTTTATTGTTCTAAAGACAAGGTGACCGTGTTACACGGCGTGACTAAAGTTTCACTTCGCTCTTGTCCAGAATACAGGCATTATTGGCACAACGTCGGTATGGGGACTCGCTGAAGGTGAAGCTGCGAAGTTTAACGAAGCGCCGCATTTGGATACTACACTTGAGCGCGATTTCTCATAGCGCGCCGCCGCGTCGTCACCGTTGCTCCTCGGCCCCATTTCGCACGCATCTCCTTTTTTCCGTGAAACGGGCGGAATGAATGAGGACCGGATGAATGGGGCAGGCAGGCCGGCAGCCAGCAGGACGCCGTGTCCGAGGCGCAAACGGAGTGTCAACAAACGGCCTTTATGAGCGTCACCCGACCCGACCCGGCCGCCGGGCCGACCAGCCAAGCTGAGCCGCCGAGTCGCCGAGCCGAGCCCCGACCTAGACCAGGCCACACCCATGGCCCGGGCACGGTCTGTCTCTCTCGCACCCGCGCGGCACGCCCCACGAGTGCGAGAGAGAGGGGCGCGGCGCAGCGGGGCGCCCTCCAGCGGTCCGGCGCTGATGCTGCTGATCCTCCTCGCTTCGGTGTCCGGCACACTGTCCACGGCGACGCGGCGCGCCTTTACATAACAATGTGCCAGCCTGCTTTAACTTTCATCTTCCTAATGGGATTTAAGAAATGGCATAAAAAAAGAGTCGGCTGCAGGACCGTGTCGTCTAGCTGCTTCTGCCTTCGACCCATCCCCTCCCCCTCTCTGCCCCCGCCCCGCGGATGCGCGTGTGGCTCGGTGATGAGATACGGGTTCCCTGGCGTAAATCACCGCCGTGCTTTTGGTCTAATTTCGTCGCTTTTCTCGAAACTTCCGGAAAAAGTGACAATTGACTTTGCGTCGAGTCGAAACCGGTTTCGAACACGGGTTGGCGATATGCAGATGAGGATAATACCCATGCTTCTGATTAAAATGCACTGTTCTTCTCACCACATCTGCAAAAAATTAAACGTTCCCTCAAAGGGGCCCAATCGACGTGGATAGTGACCAAGGCAACGACACTTGATTTCGGCGAAGAGGCTCGGCGTCTCCGCACCTTCGGGTCCACCGTCTGGCCGAGTCTGGTCGCGTCTCATCGCTGCGGAAGTAGGCGCTAGGCAAGCTGCAGCTCGGCTCGGCCGACCCAAACAGGTGACCGGGTGGGGTCGAGCCCCGCAGCCCAGCTGCCCCGCCCTGGGCCGCCCTGGGCCGGAACTGAGCCCCCTGACCCCCACCCTGCCCCGGGCCGGAGATGTCACCGTCGGACGACACGACGGTATAAAACCGTGGCGAGGCCAAGATTCGGCATCAGTCGGCTCAAACCCGTCGATCGTCCAGGTCTCAGCCGCCACACACACGAGGCACCATGAAGGTCTTGGTAAGTGCAAAGCTAGTACAGGTTGGACAACAACCGCGCCAGCTCATTTCGCAATGGACTGACATCTGTCTCACTCTCTCGTCCCGCAGGCACTTGTCCTTTTTGGGGTTGCCCTAGCTCTGGCGGCAGAGCGTCCACGCAACTACAATCGCTACAAGCGAGGGAACCTTCTGGGCCACCACCACGGCCCGTCCTACGACACCCTGAGCTACAGCGGGCCCAGCCACGGCCCCGGCATCAGCATCGCGGACTCGCACGGACCAGCGCTGTCCCTGCCCGCCCCCAGCTTTGACCACTCCAGCTTCTCCGCGCCCCTGCCCGCCGTCGACCACTCTCACAGCTACGCTGCCCCCAGCTACGCTCCCAGCTACGCTCCCAGCTACGCTCCCAGCTACGCTCCCAGCTACGCTCCGAGCTACGCACCCAGCTACTCCGCCCCCGCCCCCAGCTTCCCCTCTGCGCACGACCACTCCCACAGCTTCTCCTCCGGGCACGACCACTCCCACAGCTTCTCCAGCGGCCCGAGCTTCTCCAGCGGTCCTAGCTTCTCCAGCGGCCCAAGCTTCTCCAGCGGACCTAGCTACTCCAGCGGCCCTAGCTTCTCCAGCGGTCCCAGCTTCTCCAGTGGCCCTAGCTACTCCAGCGGACCAAGCTTCTCCAGTGGCCCCAGCTTCTCCAGCGGACCCAGCTTCTCCGGTGGCTTCACCCCCAGCTTAGCCGCCCCCGCCCCCATCGCGGCCCCCCTGGAGGCCGCCCCCATCCCCGCCCCCGTCCCCGCGCCGGTCCCCGGGCCCGCCATCCCTGCCGGCACCGTCATCTCCAAGAGCGAGGCCGTGGTCAACGCCGTCACCATCCACAAGGACGTCAAGATCGGCGTGGCCCAGCCCGTGCCTGTGCCCGTGGAGAAGAAGGTGCCCTACCCCGTGAAGGTGCCCTACAAGGTGCCCGTCGACCGCCCTTACCCCGTGCACGTCGACAAGCCCTACCCCGTGCACGTCCACCGCGACGTGCCGGTGCCCGTCTACAAGGAGGTGCCGTACCCCGTCCATGTCGAGGAGAAGATCCCAGTGCAGGTCCCCGTCCCCGTCCCCCACTACAAGCCAGTGCCCGTCCCCCACTACGTCCCCAAGCCCGTGCCCGTGCCCCAGCCCTACCCCGTCACCATCCTCGTCAAGGAGCACATCCACAAGAAGGGTGGTTGGTGGTGATTTAGGGTGGCGGAGCTAGAAATTTAATTTCTCCTAGTTTTCATCTTTCAAGTTCATTCACTCATTCATCCATTTCATGAAACCTGTGATTGCGTTGTTCATCTATTCAGTCTAGTCAGCTGTTGAGTCCGTGTTATCTAGTCGTTGCTGTTGTTGAGTTTGCCCATTAGGTTCCCAAGTGCCATCCAGTAACAAGCTGGATTTAATTAAATACTTGTTGTCATGAAACTGTTACAAACAAAGTTGTTAAATAAATAATTAAGAAAATATATCGATGTTGTTAATTTTTTTCGAAACGCCAAAAGTACATTATACTTTGATTTAAAGTTATGCAACATCGGGTCTCTGAGTATTGCTGTGGCACTAGATCTCCGTCTCACATTGGTGCTCTGTGGCCGCATGGTTGCCTACCCTGCTTTCTTAAGGCGCCTACCGCCAAGCCCTTAATGGTAATGGCAATGCAGGGTAGGACATCCCGCTACACACTGCTGCGTCGTAGTCACGTGGTTGCCTACCCTGCCCGCCCAGCGCCAAGCCCTTAATGGTAATGGCAATGCAGGGTAGGCCATCCCGCTACACACTGCTGCGTCGTAGTCACGTGGTTGCCTACCCCGTGCTCGTAAGGCGCCCGGCGTCGGCAAAGTAGGCCATCCCGAAAAAAGGTTGTCCACGAGGGATCCCTCCGCTCCCCCTTCCCCCAACCTTGCTATATCATTTGTACTTTCCTGTACAACGTCTCCCACATCGTTAAATCTTTTCCACACAAGTGAATGTAAACTAGTGCCAACATCACTGACATTCCACTACAGGGCCTACATAATTCGAGTCCTCAACATTTAATTTTCCCACCAGGTCCTCTCGGTGCGCTTTAACCGTACCGCACCCCAAGCCGTTTGCTCCGTTCACAGAAAATGCCAACAAAGGGTCGTCTTTTAAACGCAGCTTCTCGCATTTATCGGCCTGAGTGATTACTTTGCTCGGAGGCAGGCCCATCTCGTTCTTGCCTACAAGGGCCACATGCATCAATCAATTTAAAGGGAAGTGCCAAAGACCCGTGACAGGATAACACGAGTTCGCGGCAGGCCCAATAATGAAAATAGGTCTCGACTTTGAAGCGCACACAGTTGTTCTGGAACGACGCCGACCGACTTGACAACGGCCACACACTCGTTTTTTACTGTGTTATGGAAACATGGTGGTTATGGTTCCAAGGCAGGAGGAATCTCGAAAGATTTACAAACATTTTCAATAACTTTGTTTTTAATATTCAACAATAACAAACATTTTATAAAACTTAACAATAAATGGCACTTTGGGGGGTAGCGCGGACTAGAGTTTTTTTTTTTTTTTTTTTTTGCGTCGGGTTGACAGCGGCCTCCTTTACCACAGCCATCCGGCCTTCTTGTGGATGTGCTCCTTGACGATGACGGTGACGGGGTAGGGCGCGGGCACGGGCACGGGCTTGTGCAGGTAGTGGGGCACGGGCACGGGCCGGTAGCGCGGCACGTAGTGGGGTACGGGGACGTGCACGTGCTCCACCACCTCCACGGGCACGGGCACCTCGCGGACCACGTGGTAAGGCACGGCGCGGTCCACGTGCACGGGGTAGGGCCTGGGCACGTACACGGGGAAGGGCCGCTCCACGGGCACGCTGTAGCCCACCTTGACGGGCACGGGCACGTCTCGGACCACGGGCACGGGCACGGGCTGGGCCACGGCCACCTTGACGGCCTTGTGGATGGTCACGCCCGTCAGCTGCGCCTCGCTCTTGGCCACGATGTGCGGGCTGGGAGGCTCCACGGGGTGCACGTCGGCGGGCGGGGCGATGGCCTCGACGTGGTGGTGGTGGTCCTCGTGGTGGTGGTAGTCGTCGTGGAGGTGCTCCTCATGGTGGAGGTGCTCCTCATGGTGGTGGTGGTCCTCATGGGGTAGGTGGTCCTCGTGGTGCTCCTCGTGGTGGTGGACGTCCTCTGGGGCCGTCCCGGCCGGCCCGGCTGGCCCGTAAGCCGGCTCGACGTAATCCCCCAGTCCGACGGCACCCCCGTCTTCTTGGATGTGAGCCGCAGCGAGGGCTACGCTCAGAAGGATAAGTGCCTGCAAAGTGGAACGACTCAGAAAACAAATTGCGGCCAAACACCGCGTCATTTCATATTTCAAACTAGTCCAATTTTTGCTTCTTTTTTATCCGTCCGACTCACCAAAACCTTCATGGTGCCTTGCTTGTGCGGCTGCTGGCTGATCAAAGACGGAAGAGGACTCCCTTGCGAATGACAACTTTCCTCAGTTTTGCATGCTATATATACCCGAACCACTTTCGGCGACGCGGATGGGGATGCCGAAGGTGGACGGACCCGAGTGGGAGCAGCGGATCCAGATCACACGCGGAAGACGCCATCGCCACTACTTTTTCCACCAGCAGAGACTTCGCATAACCACCGAAAACCCTGCAAAAAATTCACCTGCGTTGCCTCTCCCCGGCAGACACGAAATAAACGAAATTAAATTATGAAAGACCAAACAAAATTGAGATGGAAAGCTCGTGTTTTCAATCACAGCGCACAGTCGCGCAGCATAGCGTCGCACTCCACTCTGCCCCTACACTCTATTGTTGGGAAGCTGGCTTCCTGACGGCCCCCGGCACCCTCCCCCGACGAGCCGAGCCGAGCACCCAAGCAACCGAGCCCGGCCGAGGCCGGCCATTGTCGGAAAACCGATAAATTGTGACACCCCGGCGCCCCGGGCCCAGAGCACGGCCAGCCGCGCCACGAGTAGCACCCGCACGCGTTTGACCAACCTGACCAATAAAACCCATCAGTTCCAGTTGCCTTTCCCTCGATCCCTGACTCGCCCCCTCTAACCCTCACCCACCACCCAGAGACACAACACTGGTGGCAGCGGTGGGATTGAGGGAGGACGGGCCGAGCTCACGGTGAGAGGTTAGGCCCGGCCAACAGCACAGCGGTACGACAGCTTTCGAACGGGTCACGGGGTCACGTCCCCCCTGATCCCTTCGCCGGCCTAGTCCGCGCCTGCACCAGCACAGCGGAGCGACAGCAACCGAACGGCCTACGGGGTCACGTCCCCCCTGGGTCCTTCGCGAGCCTAGCCCACTGCACCGAGTCGCCCGGCGTAGCGTCAGGTAGTTCACGGCACGGTTCGTCCCTGTCCTGTTCTCCCTGCCGTTGCCCGGCGCGAACGAAGACCCCCCGTTGCTGACCCGGCGTGGTTCCGGACGGTTTCACGGCAACTCCTGCCCTGAGCCCCCGTCGCCACCCCGGCCAGGCTAACGTCAGCCATGCCGTCGCACCGACGCGCCCGGCGGTCACCGGCACGCACACCAGCTCGCCGTGCCGTTCGTCACCCGGCCCCTCGCGCTCCCGCACGACGCACTGCTGCGACCCGTTCGCGCCCGACGACCGAGGCCCTCACTGAAGTGCTGCACCCGGAGACCTCCCGTGGGCAGCCCCGGACGGCAACAGGCCGATTCGCCCGGACGTCGCATTCTCCGGTCCGTTTCCCCGAGGCCACGACGGCGTCCTCCTCGCGCCCAGCGGTGAGCGTGGCGGCCCTTGCGCCCCCACCCTTGCCCCTGGCCGCGCCCGAGGCCCCCGTGCTCGTGCAGTCTACGGGCAGCCAGACAGACGTCGCTGCCGTCGCGGCCCTCCCGCCCCACCGACCAGCGACGCCGGCTTTGAACCTGCCCACGATGCGCCAAGCCACCTTTCCAACCTACGACGGCAAGTCGGACTACTCCTTCTACCGGGCGCAGTTCGTGGCCCTGGCCTCCGGCCGCCCCATGTCCGAGTGGGCCGAGGCCCTGGTGGTGGCACTCCGCGAGCCGGCAAGCCACGTGCTGAGCACGCTGACGGCGACCCAGTTGACCAACTTCGCCGAGCTGGACAGCGCGCTGCAGACGAGGTTCGGCAGACCGCGGCCGCGAAACATCGCCGTCCAGAGCCTGAAGGCGGCCCGCCAGCAGCCGGAACAGAGCCTTCGAGAGTTCGGCGTCCACGTCGACCTGCTGTGCCGAGACGCGTACCGGGATGACCCCGTTGTCGGCCGCAACCCGAGTGTGATGGACAAGCTCGTCCTGGACAACTTCCTGGCTGGAGTTGCCGATGTTGCCACCCGACGACTCCTCCTGATGGCGCGCCCCACGGACTTGGCGTCAGCCCTGACCATCGCCAGCGAGCTGGAGGACGCCCCGCAATGCCAGCGCGTGCGTCAGGTAGCGGCCATTGCTGGACCAACCCCTGGCAACACTGCTGGTGCCACCGTTCCGGACCTCGTCGCTGTCCTCACCGAGCTGACTGCCGCCATCCGGACTTGCTGGAGATGTCAGTCCGACGATCACACGGAACGAGGCTGCGACCGGCAAGGAGCATGATCGAGGCCAAGGAGAGGTGTGTCCTCGAGGCAGCGCCGAACAGCCCCCGGTGCGTGTCGAGCTGCGGGTCCCTCCCAGTGGCGGGTGCGTCGCGCACTCTCTACTCGGAGCGGCATCCACCAGCTCGCCGCCACCCGCGTCCGCCCCTGGATGAGGATGGGCTGCTAGGAAAGCAGGTCCTCAGGGTTCGCAAGCTCTGACCGCGGGGTCCCCCCAAGAGCCGTGGGCGGCGTGGTAGCACTGACGAGTGCTCCGCCGGCGGAGGGCGTGGGGGCACAGTGCTGTACCAGGCACGGAGGAGCAGAGCGCTCTGCCTACGGAAGAGGGTACGGGAGCACACGGAAATGTGCCACGCCCGGTGACCTCGCCGTCGAGCCTGCAGGACGGGCACCAACTCGCAGCCGATGACACGTTTTGACCGAATGAGGTGATCGCCCTGAGAGACCTCGTCTCGACGGACACGCAGTGACGGGCGCAGGGCCCGCGCCTCGTCACTGTGGCCTCCGGCCGCTCCCCTGCCGCTTGCAGTGCGAGGGAGTAGTCGATGGCAGTGCGAAACGATCCTCTGAGGTTGAAATTTGTCTCGGCGACGACGCGAGTTCCTTGCGGACGGCCTGGCGGCTGAGAACGAGCCGAAGCAGATCAGAGCCCTGGACGGGGCCGCCGACGCAGACCCGGACCACCCGGACGCCGCGCCGCACATCGAGGGCCTGCCCTTGCAGAGGCAGCCGCGGACTTCTTCGCAACAGAGGGGGAAGTGTTGGGAAGCTGGCTTCCTGACGGCCCCCGGCACCCTCCCCCGACGAGCCGAGCCGAGCACCCAAGCAACCGAGCCCGGCCGAGGCCGGCCATTGTCGGAAAACCGATAAATTGTGACACCCCGGCGCCCCGGGCCCAGAGCACGGCCAGCCGCGCCACGAGTAGCACCCGCACGCGTTTGACCAACCTGACCAATAAAACCCATCAGTTCCAGTTGCCTTTCCCTCGATCCCTGACTCGCCCCCTCTAACCCTCACCCACCACCCAGAGACACAACACTATCAATCTGCGAGGTCTCTACAGTGTGGCGCCGGGACGCCAGACGAGTCCAGCCAAAATGGCAAAACTTTAGAAAATGCTCTCTAAAAGCTCGCGCATGCCGGGGACTCGAGTTTCAATCACAGCAGCAGCAGCCCCCCCCCCCTCGACACACACGCAGACGCACACAGACGCGTGCAGCCCGACGCTCACGCGACCAACGCGTCACCAACTTTTCCACATTATTAGTGCCCACAATGGCGGCCCTTGCGATACCTGAGAGCGAAACTGCTCGCACTGCTGGCTGCGCTGGCTGCGCTCGGCGTACAGTGGCGTTGCGCCAGTTGTTGGCGCCGAGGTGCCACACGTGTTGCCGCCTGCAGTGTAAAATCCACTTTCTGATTAATTTAAACGTGTACCTTTAAATGCTTTTGTTGTTGTTGTATTTTTAACTTTTTTCTACTGCTTGTTTGTCTCCCCGGTCGTTGGCAGTGTCCCCTGGGCCTGCGGGCTCGGTATTGCTCGGCATTGCCACACTGAACATAGCTGTATCCGAAAGCAGGCAACCCGCCGCGCGGCCCCCGGCGGCGGCAGCGACGCGGAGCAGCGCAAAAGCAGAGCAAAAGCAGCGCAAAAGCAGAGCAAAAGCAGTGCAAACGCAGAGCAAAAGCAGTGCAAACGCAGTGACGGAGATTAACGAGTCGTCCCGAGCGACGCACGCCAAGAGAAAGGTCCGCGACGCCGTCCTGCGCTCCACAAGGACGAAACAATGACAATCAACAAAAACAAGAGCGCCGAAAATCGGCGGTCGGCTGCACCGCCAGGTTGTTGTTGTTGTTGTTGTTTGACCCGGAGGAAGGAGTCTTGGGGGAGCCGTGCCCCGCGCGGCTGGCCCGCCGGCCACGACACTGTAACGCACACACTCTGGCCGTCCTTCGTGCAAACGTTCCCACAAACGCACCTCGCGGTACAGCTCGCCGAATGTGCCATTGTGCCATCGCCTGAAACGGCCGCAGAAGGACGCGGGCGGACGGACGGACGGACGGACGGACAGACAGACGCTCTCGGCCAGTGGGACACAGTGTCTCAGCGATCCGAGTCCAGCCAGGTCCTTGATATTCTTGCCCCATTGCTTCCTGTGCGAAGGCTGGCCAGGCCGCCTGCCCTGGAAATGGGGCAATTAGCAATAAATGCACCGCCGGAGGAATGGCAGTGACTGGCCGGCTGGCCGCGCCCCGCCGCGCCCCGCCAAGGCACTGCAGGAAAGCAGCGTTCCGATGACTTCATTTGCTTCAAATGTCCGCCCGAGGGGCGGGGAGGCCGTGTTTGACTGCGCTGCAAGCTGAACAGTGTGCTGTGCCCGCCTTGAGGGACAGCACTTGCTGAATCCCCACACTTCAGTCTCGGTAAGAATCCGAGATGTGCGGACAAGAAGAGGAATCTCGCCGACCGATTCCGAGAGGCGTTGCCGTCGCTCTGTCTTCCCCGCACGCACGGCGCGTTCCTAGAGGTGCGAGAGAGACAGAGCGACGAAGACGACGGCCGAGCGGAGCGCGTTCCCTTTCCAGGGCACTTGCTTGTCCAGCGCGACGGCTCGCTGGAGTGGCTGGAGTGGCTGCTGGAGCGGGGGGAGGGGGGCGTGACGTCACTGGCGCATGCGCGGTCACGCAATGCGCCTCTCCAGGGCCACGGCCTCCACGGCCTGGCCAGTCCCAAGGACGCGCCGCCTTTTCAAGGTCACCGCACCGCCGCGGCCCGCGAGTCTCTCGCGCCTTAAGTGCGCCGAGGCCCCCGCGCGGCCCTATCCTCTGGCTTTTCCTAATGCATCGGACGGACACTCGCGAGATTATTTTTAGATTAGTTCCACTGTTAGCTTTTCTTTTCTTCTCACGGCGCTGCGAGGATGCTGGGGTCACTGCGCCTATTCAGCGGGATGGACTCCGATGAACTCATCAACCTCACGTCATGTTAATCACGCTTCGGAGTGAGTTTTTTGGTTCCTCACCTGAATTACAACTTGGCCAAGTATTTTGAATCGGAGTGAACACGGCTTTGGTGACAGAGCTCGCTGCTCCAAACTTTTATTGGCCGGGGGTCTTGGCAGCAGTGACCTCGCTCAAGGCCCCGCCCCATCCATTCACCTCACGCAATTCGATCGGTGCTCGGCGCGGCGCTGCGTGCGGTTCGCAGTCCGGGATGCTCCTCGCTGTCGCGACTCCCTTCCCTACATGCCGATGCTGACCTACAGGCAGGCGTGGCGCGGCGTGGCGACGCAACGTCTTCGTGGCATTGGCCTACTGATCGCGTAAATTCGACCCTTTCACTGGCCGCCGCTGCTCTTCCCTGTCTTTCTGCGCGAGCAAGGCCGAGGCTAGGCCGGGCAACAGGGATCAGAGGACAGTGGACCAGCAGACCGACTCCGAGAGTCACTCTGTCTCCCTCGCACCCGTACTGGTGCGAGAGCGACGTGAACGACTCTCGGAAGCAGCCTGTGGGGCAGTAGTCGGGCACGGCTCTGGCCTGCTTCGGTGGCATCCTCCGTTCGAAGGGCGTTCTGGCGCCGTGCGCTTGGTTCTAGTCCCATTTCAGTTGTTGAAAACTTGTCCTGGGCTTGTCCGGTTCAACTTGTCCTGGAACAGCCAGAGGGAGGTATCCACGAACAACGTGAAGTGAATTTCAGGGGCACGATGCATGAATGCCCCCTCGTGTGGAGGGTCGCTGGCTCGGCCTCAGCCTCTAGGCAGGCGGTCGGCTCTCGACCTCTGCGCCGATGCTTCTCCCGCGATGCCTTGACCCCCCCCCCTTTCCCCCAACTCTAATTTACGAACGGCCCCTGCAGCGAATCGAGAAGAAGCGGCGCCACTGTGAGTCAGGCCGCGAGGGCACGCGTGCTGGGCGGGGCGGGTAATCCAGCCTAATTATTCTGTGAACGACTGCGATTCCGAGCAGTGCAGTCTCTCTCTGGCGCGTGGGGCGTACCGTAGGGGTGCGACAGAGGCAGAGCGACGAGGACAGGGATAATCATCCTGCCACGCCCGCTTAAATATCAATTAACGACCTGGTGCCGCAGCGAATCCGGCCGAATCTCAGCAGCGGCAATGGGAAATCGGAGCGCGAGCTTGACTCACTCACAACCCAAATTTTAAGTCCGCCAAAACAAGATGATTTATTTTTTTTTCACAGATTTGTCATCGTCGTGCATCACCACTGCGCCACCCTACGGCAATCCCTGGTCGGCAGTCCGTCAAGCAGCACGTGACCCGAGACGTCGTTGCGACACCCCCTGGTCAGCTTCATGCCAATCATGGGCCGAACGCCGCGCTCGCGGGCCGGCCAATCCCACCGGGCACAATCAGAGGTACTTTCTTCATAAGCCCATGCCTCGACAGAAATTCAAACAACGACTCAGGCACACTCCGAAAAAAATAAGCGCCCCCCAGTTTTAAGCACCTTGTTCGGGATTTTAGCAGAATCCGCGATCGTCAACATTGTTTGGCCGCAGGTAGCGGAGAGAAAAGGAGCTCTCAGGGCTTGCAGCATTTCGTCACAACTTGAACCCTGGCGCGCAGCGAGCGCACACACATACTCTGTCTCACACAGTCACATAAAGCTGATCGCGCAGGGCCTGAGTACACGTACACCAGTCTTTGTCTCCCGAACAAGATTTTGGCTGAGCAATGGCAAAACTTCGTTCGGTCGCGTGCGGTCTGTCTGTTTGTCTTTGTGTTTGTCAGCCTGTCCGCAGCGGAGCTCTGAGTCCTTCATCTTTATCTTGACCTTGGAATCGAGAATCGGACGTCGCAGAGAGACGTCCGCTTGTCGTTAGACAATAACGAAACTATTTCCGGTGCACGTGAGCGGAGCGGGCAGTCAGCGAGGGAACGAAAAAAAGGCGGTTCTGTCCCGACGGATGCGGTGCAGCAGTGGTGTAGTCGCTGAGCTCCAATTATCCGTCCCCTTCCCGAAGAAGTCCCCGTTCTTGCTCCTCCGCGTCCCGCCGCGTCCCCCGGACTCCGCTGTAAATCCTTCTCTGCGGGCATAAGCCGCGGGCAGACAGGCCGCCGCCCCCACTGCCCCCGCCGCCCCCGCGCAGACTGGCGGACTGGCGCAGCCTGAAGAAGGCCAAGTAGAGCCAAGTGCAAGCTCACGGTGCATGCAGCCCACAATGGAAAGCAGAGCGGGACCCATTTTAGTTAGCACCGACTCTTCTACCTTGGCTCTTAGCCATGAATAACACGCACGAACACCCTGACCCCCCCCTCTCTCTCTCTCACACACACTCACGCGCGAGCGCGCACACTCACAGAATGGCACTGACTCGTATGGCGGTTTACCTAAACAGCTGGCCGTTGTTCCAGTTCCCCAAAGCACCGCCGCTGCTGCTGCTGGGTCGCTCGCTGTGACTCTGTGACGGCGTTTCGTCACAGGAGCGAGAGACCACTGCACGATTTAGAGCCCAGAGGGCAGAGAGAAGGACTTGCTCTCTAGATTTACTGACCCCCAGAACAACAGAAGCAACAGCATCAACAACAACAGAAACAACCTTAAAAAAAAAACTTTGGTGATTGCCACCTGAGACTGGCGATGCACCGTAAATGAGGGTCATTGACTGACTCGTGACGTCACGCTCGGCCGTTCTCGGTCCCGAACACGGCCGCCAGGGTGCCAAGGAGCGGCAGGGCGGATGGACGGACGGACGGACGGACGGACGAACGTACGGGCGGGCCAAAGGATGTGGCTCCCGGCAGCGCCCGTCCGTCCGGTGAGACAGAACGCACACTGTCAAGGTCGACCCGCCCGCCCCACCCCGCCGCGGCACGCGGTGTCGCAAAGCAAGTGGCGCCCCAGACGTCCACGAGGATGATGGCGTTACTGATAACATTTCGGGCGCCCGTCACCCGTTTTTTTCTAATTTCCTCGAGAACCCTTCCATTTCCTGCTCCGGCCTAGCTGAAGGACCACGCCTTGGCTGGGCCCCCTCCTTACTCAAATCTTTCTCTCTCACACACGCATACAGGAGCGGGTACAAATGCATGGATCCTCCACAGGTGCCATGTAAAACTTGCCAAAGTGCGAATCAGTGTCGCCACGGCATTGTTGACAGGGCCACCTGTGCGTAGCTTCAAGTTAGCGGACTAATTTTCTGTCCTGTTTTTTGTGTGTGAAAAATGGCTCTGGCCCTGTGGGTGGGTGTGGGGCCCAGGCCCAGGGCAAGGCCCCGAAACAGGGAGACGTCCACGACGAACGGCCAGCAGGGCCAGCAGGGCCAGCAGGGCTGGAGGGGAGGTGCTGGGGTTCTGGCCTTCCCCTGCATCCTATCCCCGGCCGGCGGACCAACGCCATGGAGGCTGAGCCTATGGTGGTGCACCAGGAGACCTCTCTCTCTCTCTGTCTCTCTCCCCCCGTGGGCCCCGTGGTGGCCAGGCTCGGCCCCCACCGCGCCCCGCGCCCCCCCACGCCTAGGTGCACTCCCCTTGCACAACCGCCCCTATATATAAGTGGTGCTGCGGCATGGACGCCGTACTTCTATCATCGCAGTGACCGTGCGTGCTTGCCAGTGACCGACAAAATGAAGTTTTTGGTGAGTGGCTGCAGAGTGACAGTGCAACCTTCCAGAAGACACCCCGCCAACGCCTGTATGGATTTCCCTAGCGGCTCAACCAGTGGTTCAGTTTCGTGGGCAGGATTCCGGGAACTAAGTATATTCAGTGTACAGAAAAATGTGAATTTTAAGTGTATAACAGGTTGTAAAACAAATTTTAACGTAAATTTTCTAAGGTAACATTTGCCGGTGTAGGGTTAAGTAACATATTCTGATAATTATTATGTTTAGAGATTTTCGTTTGATTACTTATTTTGTTTAAACAAAATTATCAGATGTCAGTCAAAGAAGTTCAAGTGCGAGGCATGACACATAACGTTATTGCATTAATAATCGGCCTGTGCACTGAAAGAAAATGTCTTGTGTTATCGTTGTCGGGCTGACCGGTTTACATTGTCGTGATCATTGGCAACTGTAGAAGCATTATTGACAAAGGATTAATGTCAATGTGTGGTGACTAAAAAGATTAATTTCTCTGTTGTCTAATGACTCTGTCGAAACCAAACATGGTCATAGAACGGTGGTGGCCGGTTCATGCATTTTCCTTCGCGTCCCTCGACCCCTCGCCGACTCCGCTCCGGGCGGTGAGTCGCGGTGACGTACTTGCATCGCGCAGGGGCGTCGTCCGAAGTGGCGTGGTGCCACGTCGCGCTGACCGGTCGTATAACCCGCGGGTAGCGCTCGCCACTTACTTCACGCTCCGTGTGCGACGGTGTGCGATTGCCCCCGGTAAGTAGTTACGTGCAGCGATGCGGCCATGCATCTCGCTGGGCCTCCGAGGCATCCCGCCCGGCCGGCCCGACTGCTGGACGTGCCGCCTAGCCGTGGATAATGTCGTGCAGTTTACGGTGGACTATCCTGACGGGGGCAGTCGCGGTGTAGGAGCGACCAAATTCACGCATATCGATCGTTCCTTCGCCACCATCACCCTCGTGCGGCGTGTCGTCGATGGCCTCTTTAACTGCCTATGAAGGAGTCACTCCTTGAATGCAGAGATAATTGGTGACGGAGTGTGTTGCACCGAGCGCAGTCAGTGTTTTGATGCCTGGACGTCAAGCGGGGCTGATGGTGTTGGCGGTGGCGGCAGTTAGCAGCGGGAGGACCGTTGTGGCTTGCTGCGCGTCGCTGCGCGTCGGGCTGACCGACGAGTCACACTTGCATCACAGGTGACTCGGTGAGCGCGGCGAGGCGGCCAGTGTGCGGTTAGCAAGATAAGGCCCATAACTCAGTGCGTTATGCGTGCGTGCCACGCACGGCCCGCCACGCACGGACCGCCACGCATCGTCACGCGCGTGACAGAGTGCGCGCCTTGTAAAATGCTGCACCGCGGCGTGGCGGCGGCGGGAAAATTGCATACTTGTTCATTCGAGTGCAGAATTTCTCATAAGCCGAGACGCGCGAGTTGTTTGCTCAACTGACCGCGTTTGCAGTGGAGGCGCATCTTCTTAGCCAGCTGCTATGCCGCTCGAAGGGATGTTGCGCGAGGATCCGTTCCACGCGACCGGCGACGGCAGGCCACTCACTCAAACACACGCATGCTCCCTCTCTCTCGGGCACCGACGAAGGAATCGCGTGCTTCGTGTCCACCGCAGAGGCATGTCCTTCATTTTCCCGCCGAGGCATGCAGATTTGGCGCGGCAGAGCCGCCACGCCGAGGACGCACAGTGAGTGGGCCAGAAGACCGGTGGAGGCGGTCAAAATCCCAGACGCGTTTTGAGCTCCAGAGTCGCTAAGCAGGACTCGAACTGAACGTGTGACCCCACCAATGGATTGCTCTCCGAACGAGGAAACCGTTGGTGGGGTCACACGCTCGGTTCGAGTACCATTTAGTGACTCTGGAGCACAAAATGCGCCTGGAGTTTCGGCCGCCGGCGCCGGTCTTCTGCCCCACTGTGCGACGCGTTGTGCGCGTGTGCCCTCCCCGCCGCGGACGCATCGTGTGTCTAACAAGCAGTCCCGCACCTTGTAACTTTATTTCACGGTCTTGACTCGCGCGTAATTCGAATAATACGCGCGTCAGGTTGGCTGATGTGCATTTCACACAGAGAGTTGGCCAACCTGAACCAGAGAGGCGCGCGAGCACACACACACACACACACACACTGCACAGTTTCTCATACAATGTGTTCCCATGGCGCCAGCGGCACCGTTCAGCCACCTCTCACCCCAACCCATTATTCCATTATTCCTACTGTCTGTCTGTGAGACTGTCCGTCCACTGTCCACCTGCCTGCCTGCCTGTCCGCTCGTCCGTCTGCCTGCCTGTCTGTCTGTCTGTCTGTCTGTCTGTCTGTCTGTCTGTCTGTCTGTCTGTCTGTCTGTCCGTCTTTCTGTCTGCCCGGCCCCGTCCGAACGTCGCCGCATCCTCCCCCGACTGCCCCATCTCTCCAGAAAACAATAACGACTTGTCGAGCCGCGCGCGCTGCGGCCTTGGGCCCAGCCGGGCAGGCAGTGTGGCAGACGGCGGGCAGGCAGTGCCAGGCCGCCAGGCAGTGCCACCAGCAAGAAGAGGGCATAATCAGCGGAGCAGCGAAGGCGAGAGTGTAAGCTGCTCGGCCTTGCGGGGCCTGCAGACTGATTCCGAGAGTCGTTTTCGTCGCTCGGTCTCTCTCGCACTCGCGGGGCGTCCTCTGTAGGGGCGAGAGAGACAGAGCGACGAAAGCGACTCTCAGTCTGTTGGGGCCTTGTGCACGGCAGGCCGACGACGGCGAGGCACCGTCGGGCACCCCGCCGCCCAGCCGCCTCTCCAGAGGCTAAGCGCTGCCAGACGTTCGCGGGCTCCACCGCCGATCAGGTCCTCGAGCCACTAAGATCTTTTTCCGAAAGTCTTGATTTTCGTGCTGGCGACACTCGAACCTCAGAAGGTCGGAAGGCTCCGAGGATCCACCGTGCTGCAGGCGGTCCGTGACACTGGCTGATCCGGAGGGCATTCGGGCATATCACGGCCCGCCGGCCAGCCGCGCCTGGCCGTGCCGAGCCGCTGTGGGGCCCTTGTCCCGCCGCGTCGCTAACGAAGACGTTTCCTCATGCAGCTCCTTGTCCAGGGGCGGGGCGGGGCGGTGCTAATTAAAAAGACCCGTAAAAAGAAGTTTGCCTGCAGCAGCCCCGAGGCGCATCGCGCGCCTTAACGGACCCCTCGTTAGCGCGGTGTTTAGCCACCTTCAGTCGCGGTGGGTGTCTGGCAGTGTCTGGTCCGCCGCGGCTGCCCCCGCGGCAGGGCGTCTGTTGCAGGCCGCCGGCGAGGTGGTTTGTTTGGTTTGTTTCTGTTCTAACTGTCTCCACTCCGTGTCCCCGCAGGCCGTGACCGCGCTGTGCCTGGCCCTGGCTTCGGCCGAGAGCGCCAAGAAGGCCACCGAGGGCAAGAAGAGCGAGAAGCGAGGCATCCACGATCTCGGCTACGGCTACGGCGGCTCCGAGCTCGCCCTCGGCCTCGGCCACACCTACAGCTCCGGCTTCGGCTACGACCACGGCTACGGCGGTCATGAGCTCAGCCTGCATGGACACCACGAGCCCGTCAAGACCCACGTCATCACCAAGCACGTCCCCTACTCCATTCCCCAGCCCGTGCCCGTGACCGTCACCAAGCACGTGCCCTACATCGTCAAGGTCCCCGTGCACGTGCCCGTCGACCGCCCGTACGAGGTGGCCGTCCCCAAGCCCTACGCCGTGCCCGTCGACAGGCCCTACCCCGTGCACATCGAGAAGCCCTACCCCGTGGCCGTCAAGGTCCCCGTCAAGGTCGCCGTCCCCCATCCCGTCCCCTACGAGGTCGCCAAGCCCTACCCCGTGCACGTCAGCGTGCCCAAGCCCTACAAGGTGCCCGTGGAGGTGCCCGTCTACGTCAAGGACCACCACCACGACCACTACGACAGCTACAGCCTGGGCCACGGCCTCAGCAGCCACTACGACCATTACTAAGCGCGCCGACGAACGCGTGTCCGACCATTCTGTGATGAAGAAGTATGCGTGTGTGAGTGAATGTCACCATTAAGTCATAATGTTATCGAATCCATACCCCTCACCTCCGTAGCGAGCATGATGTGTGTCTAAGTGTTTGTACATTTTTTTACTGTAAAAAAAAATAAACCGACTGTTTTACACTAAGTACAAAAAGAAACTGGTGTCGCATTATTCCGAATGAAAGAACGCAGAGACCTCCGTCGGTTATAAACATGATTGTTACCGTTCTCTCCCCCTGAAAAATAGTATATGCAGGTAGGAATTCCTTACCTTTTTCCTCTTTTTCTTTGAGGGTCGAAATCTGTGGGCCATGAATTGCTGCTGCTTTTTGGCCACTTGAGGTGACTTGGGGACGACGCCAGGGTGAGATAACTGTTTCCGAGGACCTGGGGCCGCCGCGAGGGAGACACCCACCCGGGGCGGGGCGGGGCGGGGCGGGGCGGGGCGGGGCGGAGAGGGGCGGGGCGGCCGCTCCGGAGGTACTCTCACGGCATTTCTGAATTTCACAGCTTGGGGAAGGGGTCCTTGAGCTTCGCCTGGACAACACTGGCCGCGGCCATTGTTCGCAGCCTCCTGACCATGAGGCGCAGAGAGGCCATGAGGCCAGACGGCCAGCCCACTGGAAACAAAGGTGAGGCAAAGGGATCTCGCAGCGAGAGAATAAAAACAGATAATTACGCCTCAAACGGGATTTATCATACAGTGTTGGGCATACAGGCGGCGCCCGTCGGGTCTCACACATTACCAGCTTATCCTAACCCAGTCGCCACAAGCGATCCGTGCACTAACTACACCTAAGTATTATCACAATGAGAAATGTTCACACACTTTTCGGCCGCCACTGCTGTCCGTTGCACTCGGCGGCCACCGTGGAGGTCTTGGCGACGTCAGTGCTGGTACGCGTACGAGTGCGACAGGTAGGGGTCCGGGCCCGGCCCGTAGGGGTGGGCCGGCAGCGGCCCGGGCAGGGGCTCGGGGTGCACGGGGGCGGGCGGCGGCAGCGGGGCGTACACCGGCACGGGGTGCGGCACGGCGTAGGGCTTGGGCACCGCCACGGGCACCGGGTACGGCTTGGGCACCTCCACGGGCACGGGGTGCGGCACGGGCACCCTGACGGCCACCTTGACGGGGTAAGGCACGGGCTTCTCCACCGGGTAGGGCACGGGCCGGTCCACGTGCACGGGGTAGGGCTTGGGCACGGCGACGGCGTAGGGCCGGTCCACCGGCACCGCCACGGGCACCTGGAACAAGACAAGACGGTCACAGACTCTTTGCGGCTGCAGCCGGCTGCAGGGCAGGGCGGGGCGGGGTGGGGCAAGGCAGGCCGTTGGCGTGACCAGCTGGCAGCCAACTCGTCCAAGTCGTGTCATTAGCACGGCCAGGCCAGACGCGCTTAGCATAGCGGAGCGGTCGCCGGCAGCAGACTGATTCCGAGCCTTGTCGCTCTGTCTCTCTCGCACTCACGAGGCGTTGGTGGGCGTGAGCGAGGAAGACGGAGTGATCGGTGACTGCACCTGCAGCCTGCATTGGCAGTGGCATTGAACGCGCTTTTACTGCTTTGCATAAAACGGCGCCCCACCGAGGCGGTTTCATAAAAAAGGTAAACAGCTCACTTTGAGGCGGATTATTGCAGCTCCCCTCAGCCTTTCGACCCCCGGGGCACGTCGCCTCTCGACTGCCCAGACCCACCAGGGCCAGCCGTACCGCGTTAACGAAGTCAGTGCAGTGCGCTCGGAAATCGGGGCCCGACCCGCTGCACCCCGAGGTGCACCGCAGCTCCCCGCCCGCGGCGACCAGGGGGAACCAGAGGGGACTAGAGGGTGCCAGAGGGTGCCAGAGGGGGCCAGCGGGGACCAGAGGGGGCGGCAGCGGACCATCGCAGGCTGTCCGGCAAAGCGACACCGCCTGCCTCCCCACCGCGCCGCGGCCCTGCTCGGCCTTGTCCAGAGAAATGAAGCGTGCTGGCGGACACGGCGCCGCACTCGCCAGCCCCGCCACTGCAGTGTGCTGCGCACTGGTTCCGAGAGTCTGTCTCTGTCTCTCTCGCGCCCATACGGAGCCCCCACGAGTGCGAGCGAGACAGAGCGACGAAAACGGCGCTCGGCATCAGTCTGCTGCGGAGTTGATTCCCACAGACAGCGGCTGCTGCAGCAGCAGGCAGCAGGTCCCACCGTGCGCCGAAAGGTCTGCCTACCCGCCGGGCAGCCAGGCACATCCATCAGCCGCGCTGGGAAAGCCCAGCCTTTCGACATGAACGCGTCGTGGGAACGATTTCGCCCGTCAAGGTGAAGGCGTGCAGTACGGTCGCTGGGCGCCTGCGGGGTAGGCAACCTTGCGGCAGCGCGCACCGGAGCGCGGCAGGACGGCCTACCCTGCAGTCCGCAGGCGCTAGGCGGGTTGTGGAGCCGTCGTCAGAGCGGCCGCTTCGTCAGAGCGTTTAGGACATTCGGGGTCCATGTGCACACGGCTTTGCTTTTTGCCAGCGGAGACCGGCGGCGGAGTCCCGGTGGCGCGGGGTCCCGGTGGCGGGGCACGGTCCCCCCAGAGCAGGTCCCGTAGCGCGAGCGGCGCGAGCGGCGCGAGTCACGTGACAGGCCGGGCCGGGGCGGGCCAGGCCGGGCGTGACGCAACGGGACTACACCGGGGCACCTGATCCCAGGGGATCCCCCTCCCCCCCCCCCCCCACGGCGCAGGTGGCGGTGCGGCGCGGCGCGGCCAGAGACAGAATCAATGCGGCGCTGCAGCAGACTGATTCCGGGAGACAGTTATTCGTCGCTCTGTCTCGCTCGCACCTGCATGGAACGCGCCACGAGTGCGAGAGAGACAGAGCGACGACAACGCCTCTCGGAATCAGTCTGCTGGCCGACAGTCCGAACGCTGTTTGTCCAGTGTAGCGCGCTGCAGCCCGGGGCCGTGTCTGTCTCCAGGGCCATCAGTGCGGCGCAGCGCGGGGAGCGCTCTCTTTCGGTGTCCATTTATCCGAAATGACAGCCGACGCTTTCCACTTTAGGGCGAGTTTGTTTATTTTTCGATACCGATTTCCCCACAGTCGAGAAACGGAAATCAAAGCGAACGTGTGACCCCACCAATGGCCTCCTCATTCGAAGAGCAATCCATTGGTGGGATCACACGTTCAGTTCGAGTCTCATTTAGCGACTCTGCAGCTCAAAACGCGTCAGGGATTTCAACCGCCTCCACCGGTCTTCTGGCCCACTGCCCGCCGTATCGGGCTCACTGGCCGTCATTGCTACCGCCGAGTAGCGACACTACAACGGCAGTCCGGCGCGTCCGGCCGCTAGGAGTTGACTGTGGCCCTCGTTATTTCCTTCCAGCTGGCGGAGACAGCAATCAGACCCTCCAGTCCCTCCGCCTCCAGTCTCAGCGCCGCTGGAAGCAAGGCTGGAAGCAGGGCTGGAAGCAAGGCTGGAAGCAAGGCTGGAAGCAAGGCTGGAAGCAAGGCTGGAAGCAAGGCTGGAAGCAAGGCTGGAAGCAAGGCTGGAAGCAAGGCTGGAAGCAAGGCTGGAAGCAAGGCTGGAAGCAAGGCTGGAAGCAAGGCTGGAAGCAAGGCTGGAAGCAAGGCTGGAAGCAAGGCTGGAAGCAAGGCTGGAAGCAAGGCTGGAAGCAAGGCTGGAAGCAAGGCTGGAAGCAAGGCTGGAAGCAAGGCTGGAAGCAAGGCTGGAAGCAAGGCTGGAAGCACCCGCACGTTCCTACCTCGTTTCGCTCCTGCTGCCACCTGAAGGGTCGTTCCGTCTTTGTCGCACTCATCGGGGCGCGAGGGGCGCGAGAGAGACAGAGCGACGAAATGATCCTTCGGAATCAAGCGGCTGATGCCTACGGGCTCTGCAGCAACGGCCGCGGCCCTTCAAGTCCGCGGGCACACCGTAAGGGACTCTTTCATTCATCGCTCCTCTGGAACGGCAGCAAAAACACGGCGGAGGGGACGCCAGCCACCGGCCGGGTCGACATTCGATGAAGAAATAAAGATCCTCCATTAAATTGGCGCTGGGATGCTCCTTATTTGGGCGCGGCCCCGCCAATTCGTTCCAGGAGCGGCGCGGTGCGAGACTAGTCTGGCCGTGTGGGCCGCGCCGCTCTAGGCTGGAGGCGCGGTCGAACCGGCGGCCAAAACGAAAAGGCAAGGGGAATCCTGTCCACTTTCGCCGCGGAGCGTCGCCACGCCGTCCAGCCGATGACGGCGGGAAAACACGTGGACGACAAGCGGGCGACAAGCGGGCGACAAGCGGGTGACAAGCGGGTGACAAGCGGGATGGCAAGCGGGCGACAAGCGGGTGACAAGCGGGTGACAAGCGGATGGCAAGCGGATGACAAGCGGGTGACAAGCGGGCGGCAAGCGGATGACGGACGGGCGACGAGCAGCTCACCTTCACAGGGTACGGCACGCGCTTCTCCACCGTCACTGGGTAGGGCTGCGGCACGGGGTACGGCACGGCCTTGGTGATGGTGATGGTCTTGACGTGACCGTGGTCCAGGTAGGGTCCTGGCAGCGGCCCTGGTCCGGGAAGCGGCCCCGGCAGAGGCCCAGGGAGTGGGCCAGGCAGAGGCCCGTAATGGTCCGGCAGAGGCCCGGGCAGCGGCCCCGGCAGAGGCCCCGGCCCGGAGAGGGGTCCGTGGGCTGGGGTCAGCAGCGGCGCGTAAGGGTAGGGGCCGAAGGGCAGGCCGTAGCCGAGGCCGTACAGGCCACGCTTCTCCGTCTTCTTGTCCTTCTTGGGCTCGTCGGGCGCGGCGGGGGTGGCGGGGGCGGCGGGGGCGGCGGCAGGGGGGCTCGGAGCCGCGGGGGCCGCAGCCGGTGGGGCGGCGTCCGCGTCACCCCTAGCGACCACGGCGGCCACCAGGAGGAGCACCAGCACCTGTCCAGGCCAGCATACTCCATGCATTAATTGAAACCAAGCCTACAATGGATTCGAATCGATGGGTATAAAGCCACATTTGGTTATTTGTCTCTATCATCTGTAGATCTTGTTCGACGGGACGACACCGCCAAGCTGCAACAGCCGACGGCGGCTTTGCCTGGCAGGCAGGCGGCCCACTTCGCAGCGGCCCACGATGGGCTGCCTGCCTGGCGGGCGCGCTGCCACACTGGCACTGCCCGGACTCAAAGTCCCCCGCCCCGCGTGCGACTGTAAGCACTGGCAGCGAGGCGTCCCACCCGACGCATCACGCTTGCTTGCATCCGCCGCCCGCCCACGCAAAGGGGATCTGGGGCTCCTGGCCGCGGGCTTGCCGTCTCGAGGAGGGGACCGCGAAGGGACCGGCAGGGACCCTCTCCCTCGAGCGCGCAGCAAGCAGCCCGCAGCACAATGCGACCGATGCACAAAACTGGCCACTTAGGCCCGACGCGCCAGCCTGGGACAGCCGCGTGGTTCCATCGCTCTGTTGCTCTTCTTCGGGATGCACCACGCGAGCGAGAGAGACAGACTCTTCGGTCGGCGCGCTACTCACCAAGGCGTTCATGGCTGGTAGCCGCGGCGCTGCTGCAGGGCGAGCAGGGCTCTGCTACGCTGCGATCGGGGACGTCTAGGACTGGGGCGGCTGTCCCTTCAGAGCCACATATTTATACGGGAGAGCCCCCCTCCCCTCCGCGGAGCGCAGCCCCCACATGTAAGCCTGCGGGCCTTCGGGCCTTCGCGCTCTGCCTTGGCGACCATGTCGTCGAACACGCCGCCAGCCCCGCCAGCCCCGCCAGCACGAAGGCAGGGACCGCGGGGACCGCGGGGACAGAGAAAGGGCAAAGTGTAGCGCAGTGTAACGTACAAGGTACACAAGCTGGCGGCCTGCAGCGGGGCCGCGGGGAGCCGCGGGGAGCCGCGGGCTCCGGAGGGGACCGGCCGAGTAGAGACATTACAGTGGGACAACAAACACACAAGGTGATCAATGCGGGCCGCTACAAGCAGCGCCCCACCCAGGGCCCGGCTGCTGAGCGATTCAGAAGAGCGGCTCATCGCTCTGTCTCTTTCGCACCCTTATGGCGGTGCCCATGAGTGCGACGGAGCAACGAGGCGACTAATCACTCGGCTGGGATGGGAAGCTCGCTCCTGCCCTCCGCTCGCGCTTTTCGTACTTTGGTGTCAAATCGCGCTCGTCGCGCAGAGCGGCGCGGAGTGTCACTTCTCGGCTCAGGCGAGTAATTCCGGGCCGACGCACAAAAGGACTTGACGCACACTTACACGCACTTACACACACACACACGCACACACACAAAGTAGGCGCGTGTCGTCCTCTGAAAGGGAAGTGGCCCGGCGTCCTGTAACACAGCGCCGTGGAGTGCCCCAGTCACTGCATGGCCTCGCCCGGCCTCGCCCGGCCTCGCCCAAGATCAACCATGAATAGCACCCCTCAGCAGCGCCCATTCTCGGTGAGGGTCCTCCACTACCCCAACCCCGAGCGCTGCTTACCGCCTGTCCAAAGCCTGCCCTTGCCTCGCCGCCCACCATCCCCTGCCCGCCGGCCCACCTGCCCCAACCGCCCCGGCCGCCCGCCCTCGCAAAGCACTCCCGCCACCCGCCCCGGCCGCTCGAAGTAACCACTCAAAGACCCTCAGACGCCCTAATTCCTGCAGCATTCAGTCAAACGCAGCCCTAATGGAATCAGCGCGGGGGGCCCCGGGGATTAAGATGACGCTTGCATGGATCGTGCACTTTGGGGCCGGGAAGGGGATGGGCGGGGCGGGGCGGGGTGGGGTGTGGTGGGGGGGGTGAGGCGGGGCGGGGTGGGGCGGGGCGATTGCGATTAAGCCTGGACCACAAATGATCGTCTGGCTTTCGGGCCCGCCCCGGGCATGTCGGGGATTTACCAGCACGTGACGGGGCCCTACTGAGAGGAGGGGTTTTCTCGGTAGACCGGGTACATACGCCCACGCATCGGTATGTAGCGGGGACAGCCTTTTGGCCGTCCACCCCTACACACCTTATCCGAGTCCGACACTCGTCTTTGTTCACCCCGTTTTTAGGGGCTGTGTTGAGCAGGTCTTCTAGTTGCTTCAGCCTCTTCACTCCTACCCTCCTCTTGATGCGACCTTGTAGTTGTGGTATCTGTCCGCAGCGTCGTGAGGGCCCGAAATGCATTGCCGTACAGGCATCTGCGACTTTTCGTCGTGAGACCTGGAAAGATGCGAGGCCCAAGGCCCACCCCCACGATGTTAACTGCGTGCGGTTTGTGCCGCACTGCGCGCCCGCGAGTAGGTGTGCCAGATACTGCAGGGCTGATCCTCTTCGGTCGCAAGGATAGGGGTCTAGACGGCGTTGTGGTGTCCGCTGGCGCCGCTTCGCAGACTGACCGCGACACCGAAGTACTTGAGCTCCTGCGCGGACCGATGACTCCAGTACTACCGTCCCGATGGTGCCAGATCTTGCGCGTGGAGAGCAAAAGTTCCCGGGACAGTGAGCCAGCTGTAGAACGCGACCTGCGAACGAGGACTAGGGCCCGGGGGGGGGGGGGGGGGGGGCTGCGAGGGGGCTGCTGGACCTGCGACGGAGACGCACTGCTTTGACGGCGGGGGAGGGAGTAGGGGGGGGGGTGTCGGGTCGGCCGGAGGCCTGCTGCGCTGCGACGTTGGGAGGCGGGGGAGGCGGGGGAGGCGGGGGAGGGGAGAATGAAAATGACCGTGACAAAAAACAGAACCCAGACGACGCTGCGGCTCACATGTTCATGGGCGTAGGTGGGCTAGGGCTAGGAGGTCCGGCTGCTGTGAACTGACAGGAGCGAGGCTGGGGCGGCGACGCTGCGTGCTACGCCACTTCCTGCTGGAATCCAGAGGGGGACCGACTGCGTGCCGCCAGGCCACCGCACGGCGTCTTGGTGCGCGTCGCCACGGCCCGGCGCAGGGAAAACCACCAGAACCGGCGCCACCGCGTCCACGGCGTCGGTGCGCGGGGATGCAATTGCGCCACCTCGTTGCGCCTCGCTGCTATGACGGAGGTCCGCGAGCCGCAGCAGGTGGTGGGCCCGCGTCGCGAGGCGCGGGGGTGACCGCGGTCAGCAGGGCCGGCAGGGGGACGGCCGCGCTCTTACCCGGAGTTGCGCTGGGATGCTTGCACTGCTACCTGCTACCGGTACTCGCTTGATGTTGGCGTCGACGAACACTGATTTGGAGCACACGCTGCAGGCGAGGGGCTGCGGCTCGGGCTGCGGCTGCGGGGCCCGGCTCGGCTGGCCCAGGGCGGCGTGCCCCAGCCCCCACCCCACGCCCAGGCCTGCCTGCAGACGCTGCGCCATGTGTGAGAGGACGCCAAGGGCCCGGACAAAGACACCACGGGTAAATTGCTGATTTCTCGGACACCGTTGCACTAAGCCACTTTGCAGTAGGACACGTCGACGCCCGGACGCGAACCACATCGATCGATACCACATGTTGACCACAACACTGACTTTATACCACTACTAATTAGCAAAAACCCGGAGCACGAAATAAACACGACTCGTCCCTAGCCCGGCAGGCGGCACTCCTCCTGGGGCGGGGCGGGGCGGGGAGGCGGCCACACTCAGGTGCCCAGGGAGAAGCCGCAACCCTGCCGAGCTGCCGACGGCTCCACACCGAGGAACACCGACGCCAGGATTGATTGGCACCCTCAGAGGGGCGTGCGCGGCTTGAACCACACTCTACCGCCACGGCGTCGTTCTGGTCGAGGGAGAGGCAGGGCGTGCCGCCGCCCCGCCGCACGCACGTCAGCACCGACATGACGGCCACGTCCTCGGCACGCGTTTTCCGCCACCGCGCGGAGGCACTAAGACACGGCAAACGTGCCCGTGTCCGGGGCCCCTTCGGCCGCAAGGCACGGCGCTGCAAGGTTGCCGGCCGCAAGCGGAACCTACACTGATTGCGAGGGCTATCGCTCATAAACCACAGGCCAGTAACTTGGGGATAAACCACGGCGACAGTAACTCCCGCCCCGTCCCGGCCGCCCCCACCCCATTCCACAGGGCGCTCTCCGGGGCTAACTACGTGACGTTGTCTACGAGCGGGCCCTTGATTGAGATGACGGACCTACCCGTGCGCGCAGCGCCAGCGGACTGATTCCGAGGGTCGTCTCTCTCGCACCTGTGCGGGACGCGCCTTGAGTGCGAGAGAGACAGAGCGACAAATCTCGGAATCAGTCTGCGGCGCCGCGCGGCGGGCGCGCCGGGCTCTCGTGAGCGAGGGCCGTACCCTCGGCCGCTCCACGGTTACCGGCTGGCGGGGCGCCCCGCTTCGCCCCGCTCCGCCCCGCTCGGCACCAATGTCTTTTCGTATCGCCGATACCGCCTGCATCGCAAGGACACTCTACACTACTCGGCAACAGCAGTCGCCGCTGCGGGCGGAGGTAAACAGTGCACCTCGGACGCGTCAAAGAACGCCTTAATGGTGGCTCTGGAACACACCCCTCCGACGCCACGCTTCGCCACGCCGGATTGCCTGCCGCTGCCACGATTGGCTATTTGCCTCTCGGTCCGTCCGCTCAGGACAATCTGCTTAGAGTCGTCGCCGAAAACTAGCCAGAACCAGTCGGATTACAAGACGACTCGGCGCGACTGGCAGGGCGGGGCGGGGTGGGGCGGGGCGTTAGAGAAAGGCTCGAACATCCGAACGCGAGCGGCACCGGCACTGCTAATGCACGGACCCTGCGCCTCAGCCTCGGCCGACCAGTAGACTGATTCCACCTGATTCCGCGCAGTGCGGCCCTCGGTCTGTCTCTCTCGCACCGTTACGGAGCGCCCCATGAGAGAGAGAGAGAGAGAGAGAGAGAGAGAGAGAGAGAGAGAGAGAGAGAGAGAGAGAGAGAGAGAGAGAGAGAGAGAGAGAGAGAGAGAGAGAGAGAGAGAGAGAGAGAGAGAGAGAGAGAGAGAGAGAGAGAGGAATCAGTCTGCTGTCCGCCCTGCAGGGCCCTGGCCATGCGGTCCCAGCAGCACCACTGCTGGTGGAACACCGTCCCAGGTGGGCACGCTGGAGTGAGCGCTGGAGTAAGGGCTGGAGTCTCGCGGGATGAAAATAAAAAAAAGGCCCAAAAATAAAATTTGGCAAAACGAGGAGAAATAAAGCGAGGATGGTCGTTCCGTTCCCCCACCTTCCGTCCGTCAACTTGAAAGCGCCCCACCGCTTTGTCCCGCAACAGCGTCGAAAAAAGTCCCAGGCGGCAGTGGAGCAGTTTTCCTCTTCAAGAAGTATCGCCACCCATGGCGCGGCGGCGCGGCAGCTCAACTTTCGGCCATCGACTCCCGCTTTGTTCCACGCTAGCCAGCTTTTGTCGCTGTGTCTCTCGCACACCTCCGCAACGCCCCACGAGTGCGAGAGAGACAGAGCGACGAAAGCAGTCTTCGGAATCAGTCCCCTGGGCGTCGCCGTGGCGTCGCCGCGGCGTCGCCAGATCGCTGTTTTGCGCAAGCAGCGGGCCGCGAGATTGGGGCAAACGACTGCACGGTTTCCAACGGCCGGGCCACGCCACTGTAATTGCGCACCGGAAAGGCCGGAAAGGAAGGCAGTAATGAGGCATTGTTTACATTGTTTCGTTCCATTTTATTCTCTTTCTCACGTCAACGACTCGATTAATACATCCCAAGAGGGCGGTTAAAACATAGACGATGGGATGACCGACAAATCGATGGAGAGTGATGATCAGTCTTGAAGACGCGTAGATGTCTGCCTTCCGCCTACCAGGTCTTGAGCGCCGGGGCGGAGTGGAAGGATGGGCCCGAGGAGAAAGAGGGGGCCGAGTGGAAGGAGGGGGCGGAGTGGAAAGAGGGGGCGGAGTGGAAGGACGAACTGGAGGAGAAAGAGGGGGCGGAGTGGAAAGATGGGGCAGAGTGGAATGATGGGGCAGAGTGGAAAGATGGGGCGGAGTGGAAAGATGAGGAGGAGTGGAGGGAGGCAGAGGGGAAGGACGGGGCGTAGGAGTGGCTAGCGAAGGAGGGAGCGGAGAAGGAAGGGGCGGACTGGAAGGAGGGGGCCTGGACGGCGACGGGGGTGGGCACGGCGACGGGCACGGGCACGGCCTGGTTGACGGTCACGGGCACGGGCTCGGGCACGTTGTAGGGCTGGGGCACGGGCACCTTGTAGGGCTGGGGCACGGGCACGGGCACGTGGACGGCGCGGGGCACGTCGACGGGCACGGCGCGGGGCACCTCCACGGGGTAGGGCTGGGGCACTGGGTAGGGCACGGCGCGGGGTGTCTCCACGGGCACGGGGTGCGGCACGGGCACGGGCACGTGGCGGTCCACGGTCACGGGCACGGCCTGGGGCACGGAGTACTGCACGTGCTCGTCGCGGTGGCTGTAGGTGTGCCTGGTGGGCACGCTGTAGGAGGCCTGGTAGCTGCTGGTGTGGCTGGCGATGGGCGCCGCCGCGCTGTAGGAGGAGCCGCCGAAGGAGCCGCCGCCGTAGGAGCCGCCGCCGTAGGAGCCACCACTGTAGGCGCTGCCGAGGGAGGCGCCGCTGTCGAAGCTACCGCCGTGCGACTGCCCGAACAGCGCACCCCGCTTCTGCTGTTTCTTGGCGTCCTCCCCGGCCAGGGCCGCGCCGCATAGTGCGAAGAGGCAGACAACCTGAGGGACAGAGCGAGCGGTGAGACTGCAGACTTCCGGCCCTGGCGAACAACCACGAGGAGCTATACTTACTACGAATCCCCTCATGGTTCGGCTTGGTCGGTTGCTGCGGAACACGAGCGACTGATGCTGTCCCAAACGCAGCGATCCGCTTATATACTCGGCCCGGTTGTCGCCGTTTTGCCAAAATTTGTGAGTGGGGAGACGGCGGCACATCCTCCGAACAGGTCGCCCGCGCTATTTCTTTTTTCTGCACCACATTTCGGTCGGCCCCGTTCCGACTTTCCGACGCTCCACCACAGTCTTCCCTTCTGCCCTGACTTAATTAAAATTAAATCTCCTTATGCAAAGGAGTCTCCGAAGTCATACAAATGTGAAAAGTTAGAGCGGCATTTTTTGAGCGGTGTCTGTGTCTCGCCGTGGGTCGCTGCGAGCACATGTCCCTTTCGCACGATACGTACTTCATTACTCACAAGGTCGATACTTTCATCGGATTAAAAAGGTGACTCGAATGGGCGGAGGGTTTTTTCAGCGATTTGTTTCCACGCCCGACAGCTCGACAACCAGCCGGGAAGCGAAAAAACTGAATGGATAAACGATAGGCTTTGCAAAGGTAGGGAGACGGGTCCGTTTACAAAGAAAGACTGCAAAGTCAAGGTAAGTGAGCGCAATGCGTCTATGCACTGATTCAGAGAGTCGTTTCCATCGCTCTGTCTCTCTCCCACCTACACGGGACGCCCCATGAGAGCGAGAGAGACAGAGCGACGAAACGGACTGCAGGGCGCGTTCTTGGAGCGAGCGGCTGCAGGAAGCTGACAAGGACTTCGCCGCGGCCGCTTGCGTGCTTGCATCGAATCTGCAAGCAGGCCGAGCGCGGTAAAAGCGCTGGACTATTTTCGCAGTGTCGCGGCTCCAGGCTGCAGTGACTCCAGTGCCCAATTGGCCGGCACTGCCGGCCGCATTGGAGCACTGGAGGCGGCTTTCTGGACTGATTCCCTCCGGATCGCGGCAGAGCTGCCCGAATAAATTGCTCTGCGACATCTCGACCGGCAACGCTTGATAAATTTGGCGTGCACTCGGTGCTCTTTTTTTTCTCTTTGCGGCACCGTTAGTGTGTGTTCGGCACTGGGACGCGCGGCCTGGCGAACGTCCACCCGGGGGCCGCCACCTTTACATAACTCGAACAACGGCCACAAAAAGCGGACGACACATCTCAGCTGGAGTTCGTCTGTGCCAGTTTTATTGTGTTCTAGTATGGAAAGCTGTTCTCACCTGCTTCAAAGGCAAAGCGTGACACAGATACGTACTCTGCTAAAAAATACTTTATTCGCTGGAGTATTTTGTTTTTTGTGGGAATGGGTTAAAAACAAGGAGGCGAACCAAAATTCAACATAAATAAAGTTTTATTGCATTTTTTTCATTATTTTCTTTTTATTCTAGGGCTACAAAAATAGTTCTTTCTCTTGTTCAGCTTTCAGTCTTATTACCGCTTTCTGTCGTGCTCGACACAGTGTAATTTACAAAGACAGGATCCAGAAATAATACCCAAAACAATAAGTTACAACATTTTAAATAAATTTCTACAATTTAATTGGGCGTGGGACGCTTTTGAGCAGAACCATTGACGAGCCACTGCGTCACACCTTGTTGATGATGCGTATCTTGTGCACGGCGTGCACCACCGTGACAGGCGGCCTGCCCGGCGCGCCGGGGTGCCTGGCCATCAGGGTGAGCGGCGACCTGGGGTCGACGGCGTCGCGGAACCGAATCCTGGGCGACGCGATTCTAAGGCGGACGGCGCTGCCAGCGGCCGTCGGCCCGGTCGACGTCGGTCGCCGCGTCGTGGTCTGCCACGCGGCGAGGCGGCACGGCGCTCCGAGCGAGGCGGCGATGGAGCCACAGTGCTTCCGTAAGGGTTGCGTCATGGCCATGGGCATGGCGTAGGCGCCCCGGCCGCCCTTGCCGCCCTTACCTCTGCACAACAAAGTGACGTTAACGGGGTGCTCGGGGCCCGGCCACACACTCACACAGACACACACGGACACCGATGAGGCTGTACACAACCATGCATTCTCACCGGGGCGGTCTCAGCCTGTGTTTGCCACGAACCGAGTGTTCGACGGGGTGCTCCACGTCGTCGTGCTCCGCGGACACGGACGTCGCCGACGGCCCGGACGGTGACTCCAGGTCTTCCAGCTCGCCGGCGTGCGCTGCGGGCAGGCGGTTGAACTCCGAGTCGCTGTCAGCGGCCGGCGGCAGCAGGTAGTACGGCAGCGCGGGGTCGGTGGCGTGCTCCACGAAGGGCTGGAAGTCCGTGGCCTCGCCCTCGGCGGCGGGGTGGCCGCGTGGTGGCAGCATGGGCTGGAAGCCGTTGCTGATGGCGCCGCCGACGGGTGGGGGCGTCGACGGCTCCCCGACGAACGACGTCAGGGACTGGCTTTCCTCCGGGTAGCGCGGCTCCACCAGCGGCGGCGGCGCAGGCGTGGCGCTGGGCTGCGCGTACACCACGGGGCTGACGGTCGTGACGTGCTGCGGGAACGGCGCGGGCGTCTGCGGCGCGTACACGACGGCGCGCTCGTGCTGCAGCACCTGCCGGTTCACGTTCTCCGAGCCCTGCTGCACCACCTCCGCCGTCGCCTTGCCCCGCAGCATCTTGTTCTGCAGCTCGTGGAGCTTCTGCAGCTGCTCCAGCTGCACTTGGATCTGCTGTGACAGCGTCAGCTGCAGTTCGTGCTGCATGTCGGGGCTGGCCTCGCTCTTCAGGAGGCTCTTGGCCTGCTGGTAGCTAGGTTGCGTCGTAGAGTCCGCGTGCACGCCGTGCACGTACTGCGGCGGCGGCGCGCGCACCGTGGGCTGCTCCGTGTAGTACGGCGGCGCGTAGGTGGTGGTGATGGCCTCGGTGGAGGCGGCGTACTGCACGGCGTGCGGGTGGTGCTGCTGCAGGTGGAACGCGGTGACGGGCTGGTGCAGCGTGCGCGCGTCCAGGTGCTCGTAGTGCGTCTGCGCGGCGGGGGTGAGGTCCACCTGGTGGCTGCGCATCCCCGAGTGGCCCAGGTGGTGCACCTGCACGTTGGCGATGACGCCCCCCTGCTGCGGGCTGGGCCAGGCCGTCACGCCCCGCGGTCGCTGCGAAGCTGGCGAAGATGGCCATGCCCGCGACGGCGGCAGCGCCCACAGCAGCAGCAGCAGTGTCGTGGGGACGGACACATCCATCTGAAACACCAACATCCTGCAATAAGTCGTCGAACACCGTCGATGAGAAACCACTCGGCAATAGAACCAAGCACCTTGTTGGGCTCAGGCCCGACCGCCACCGACTGCGCTAGGCGGGCACCGAGATCGGCGCACTTGGGTCCTCACCACACCGGCGAAAGTGGCGCATTAATCTTCATCCGGAGTCATGGCGGCCGTCGCGTCGGTGCGTCTTTCCCCCGGCAACGCGGCAGGCTGCACCGCCGAACACAACGGCTTTCCAAGAGATAGGAATCGCGGGGAAAAGCGACTAGCGCTTCACGTGCCTTGTTGGGCCCGTTTTGAGGAGTTTGTTACCAGGGGGTCCCAAAATGGCGGAGGGTGACTGAGGGGCAACTTACTACGATTCTGCCTACAGACAGGCATATGCAAAATGTAACACTCACGGGAACATGAAACAGCAAAGTGCTAGACTGATCAAGAAATTATTTCTATAGCTTCATCTTGAAGCGAGCGTTGCATGCTTTTCGCATGCCAAAAGAAAGCTAGTGATTCAATGTACCAGCGTTCGCCGTTTCTTTCGAGAAGCAGCCACCAAGGCTCTGACTGGCCACGAGGCCCCCTGCAGGTCGCAAAGGATGCGTCGTCGACCAGGACGCGGCGCGCAGTGCGGCCCTTACCCGAAATGGCGCGGTATCCAAGTCGCGATGTGGCGCTCGCCGCTTCCGGGGGAACTGGCGGCCCGGACGCCGAAGGCCCTACTTATAACGTGGCACGGATTCACGGTACTCGCGCTAATTCGGCCAGGTCGGACAGCGAGGCGTTAGAGGCGCCGGCGCCTCGGCCACGCCCCGCCACGCCCCCCTCCACGGAGGGGAGGTGGCTCCAACGAAAGGGACAGGTGAGGAGTGGGGCGCAGTGACTTGCTCGCGAAAACCACGGCCAGGACGGCGTGCCCCGGGACGCGTCCCACAGCGTGCTGCGTTTGCCATAAAGCCTGACAGCCCGTGGCGTGGCGCGGCGTGGCGGATCAGCCGCTCGCCCTTCCCCTTTCTACTTCTGTCTGTCCGGCCGCCCAACCGCTCGGCCCAGCCGCCACATTGTGGCGTGGCACATCCCTTATTACGGCACCGTCGTCCTGCAGTCGCAGCCACACGTCCGAGCACGCCTTAGTACGAAACAAGTTGTTTCATTTGTTACGTTTGAAACACTTTTTCCTGGCATTGAAAAAAGGGCAGTACGCTTTTCTCATATCTGTCGCTGGGTTTGTCGCACAAAGCCAACAGCAACATACTACTGTTTTTGAGCTATTTTTTCATGTAGATTTTTTTAAAATTTAGTTATTGATTGGTATTGAAAGTGTGTTTTATGTACTCTTCCGTTGCGCCGTTTCGCGGCAAGTCGAGGCGGTAAACGCCGGGGGCCTATGATAGGACTCTGGCGCCGTTTGCCCCCGAAGTTTTAACGCCTGTAGGGGGTGATTCGCGGAGCCAAGTGCAGCTGCGGGCGCCAGACGCGCCTCCCAAACTGCGTCTAACCAAACGTGGCTGTTCTCCTGTTCGGGCAACTTTTCCTTTTCTCCTGTTCCCAGGGCGGTATGGTGCAGGCGTTGACGTGGAAGTCGCGCCTTGTCCGCGCCCAGGGCCTTGCGCGCAGCACTCGGGCCCGGGCCTAGGGTGCCCGATGAGCGCTCCGCGGCTTGGCGGCGTTGCGGCGTGGCGGTGCGGCGAGAGTGGCGGATTCCCTCCGTTCGGGTTCACACATTGTGGTGCGTTGGCCGTGCTTTCTTCGTCGTCACGGTCACTTTGTGCGGCCGGCCTTACGTTTCGTAAGGGCGGGGCACAATGGCCGCGTGGCCGCACTCCACACGCCGATCGAGGAGGAAGCAGCTGCCAATTAAAAAGAAATCAAGAGCGTCGTCG